ATTTCAACAAAGAAGAAGAAGATGACAAAGAGAAGGAAGAGGAAGAAAAGAGAAAGAAGAGTAGGAAGAGTAGGAAGAAGAGGAAGAAGAGGAAGAAGAGGAGGAGGAGGAGGAGATTGGATTTGTACCCCCACCCTTCACTTGGAGTCTCAGAGCGGCTTACAATCGCCTTCCCCTCTCCAGAACAGACACCCTGTGAGGTAGTTGGGGCTGAGAGAGCTCTCTTGAGGACTGCCCTTGAGAGAACAGCCCTGAGAGAACTTGTGAATGACCCAAGGTCACACCAGCAGCTACGAGTAAAGGAGTGGGGAATCAAACCCGGTTCTCCCAGATCAGTGTCCGCGCTCTTAACCACTACACCGAAGAGTGCAATCTCAACAAGTCGTAAGTATAAATACACAATCACATTAATAAGGCAAGACTCATACAAAGTATATTCCAATGACACTATAATGGGGAACCACAAGAAATTTCATGTACATTTAGTAGCCCAAAGGAAACCTTTATGAAGATATGAATGCTGACTGCATTATGTAAAGATGATCTCATGTTATATGTGTTGTGATTGTCCATCTACGAAAAAGCCTTGGGGAAACTTTGGCATTTAGGCCAGCAAATGATGGACTACTGCTTTGTACGTTTTGAAAATATTTGGATACAACTGCTTGGAAGCAGGTGACTTACTTGAAAGCAAGAAGCATAAACAATTTATGTATCTCATTTACAGAAGCACTTTAAAGTTTGCCTATTTGCAGCCAAAAATGACAACATGCTATCTTTAAAGCAGCACTGTACTGATCACACCGCAGTTTACTTCTTCTCTTCTCCGAAGACAAGAATATTGGGCTACTAAATGTATATGAGATTACTTTTTGGTTCCTATTACAGTGTGATTGGAATATACACTGTATGAGTCTTGCCTTATTAATATGATTGTATATTTCTACTGCAGGCTGTGGAAGGTCAGTAGTTCAGCAGTTCGAGACCCGGGTGCCGCATGACGGAGTGAGCTCCAGTCTCTAGTTCCAGCTCCTGCCAACCTAGCAGTTCGAAAGCAAGAAACTGCAAGGAGATCAATAGGTACCACTTCGGTGGGAAGGTAACAGCATTCCGTGTTCCTTGGTGTTTAGTCATGCCGGCCACATGACCACGGAAACATCTTCGGACGGCGCTGGCTCTTCGGCTTGGAAACGGAGATGAGCACCGCAACCCTAGAGTCAGATTCGACTGGCTT